CCTCCGGGTGGTGGAGGGGGGGAGTCGTGGTTGGGTTTTTTTAATTTTCTGTATTGTAATCCTTTGCCAGGAACCGCCGTGTGGGGACATCGGGACCCGCCAATTCTTGGTGCATATCGGTTTTCTGTAACGGGATATTAAATCACGTGTGAACATTTATTTGCTTATTTTTTAATTCCTAGGTTTCTCATGAAGCTGAGCCATGAGACCGTGACCATTGAACTGAAGAATGGGACACAAGTGCACGGAACCATCACAGGTACGAGGTGGGGGGCGGGAAACCGCCGCAAAGTTCCCTTTCTGCTAACAAATGGGTTGAGGTTTTTTTTGTTTCATACTCCCTCTTGCGGGGACCTCCTGTGTAGGACGCGGGAAATGTTCTTTATTTAATTAACATCTTGACGTGCAAGCAAGTGTGAGGTGTGCTTGTCACGGAAGTTGTGACCAGTCACTTTTTGGGGAGATATTTTCACTACCCTGCCACACCGATCCTGGACAGACAACTGAGTTTTTAAGTCTTCATAAGGTGTTTCAGTACATCTGACTTTCTCTTGTGAAATTGCCATAACCTATGAGAGCATTACAGCTGAATCGCCAGAAGAGGGACTTCTTTTTTTGAGTGGTAGCATAGTTAAATGACACATGTTAAGTGCCTGTACAGCCTAAAATCAGTTAAATTTTGTGTGCAGGTAGTTTTAATCTGAAAGAATTAATTATTTCTGTGGAGCATGCTTTTGCTTCTTAATAAGGAACTGCCTCTTTGCATACGTGTGTGTTGATTTGAGAGGACACGTTTGAAAACGTGGAGCTTGATGAGGGATGTAGGAAGCAGTCCTGGCACCGGGAATTTGGTCCCTTGCTGCAGCCAAAGGTCCATCATAGAAATTTGGGTGTTGGCATCCAGCAGGTGTTGCTGTGCATCACTGAGCTAAAAGCTGTCAGAAAAACCTGTGGTTCATCGTATGGTTCTCATGTGTATCGGAAAAACGTGTGGACTGTTTAGTTGGCTTTGATAATATCAGTGAGGAGTATCGCTCTGGAAATCTTCTTGTTGGCATTACTTTAGAAACAATCAGGTATGTAGGTGGGGCACATTGTGGATTATGCGTAGGGCAGCACAGCGGGCACAGTATGGATTCTATACAGTTCTTAGCTACTGGCTGTTCACGGAGTTTGTGACCACACTGACTGTTCCCTACAGTAGTGTATTTTGCATACTTTTATAGAAGATACCACTTTAGTATTAGATGTATTTTTTCATAAAATAAATGTTGCTCTAGCAGTTGGATTTTTCTGAGACTTAAAGAGGGAACAGTTAAGTTATTTTTCCTCCTCAAAGGTTGGTTTTGCTGATTTTTAAAGAAGTAAAAACACTAGTGCTGGTCTTCTGTAATAAGTGGCAGTTTATTTGTAATTCAAAGGAATTCTTTTAACCATTTACAAAGTTGCTATTGTCAGGACCTGGATAAAGATCTGTAGCAGTGAGGTGTTAAAGGCAGCAATTGATAAATTGGCGAGCATAATTTGAGAGACAAAGACATGTAGTTTCTTTCAGCTAGAGGTTGAATTAGTGGGTGGCAGAAGCAGTGTTAATGAATGGGATAAATCTTGAAGCATGTACACACTTGAAAATAGCCAACAAAGAACTGTCTTAAAGGCTTTCATGTCTGAAATTAGAGTTGCATTGTTCCAGGTGTGGATGTCAGTATGAATACGCATCTCAAAGCAGTGAAAATGACGCTGAAGAACAGAGAACCTGTACAGCTGGAGACACTGAGTATTCGAGGGAATAACATCCGGTACTTCATTCTGCCAGACAGTTTGCCTCTGGATACTTTGCTAGTGGATGTTGAACCAAAAGTCAAGTCCAAGAAGAGAGAAGCAGGTTGGTGTTTGCTTTCCTCATCTGCATTTGTCCTGCCTTTGTATGCATGCTGGTGCTCTGAATCTGGAAATGTCTGGTTTGAGCCTCTTAATATCCACATTCTTTGATCTGGGAGGATTTGATACTGAACTGGCTAAGTCTGCCTTGCCCACCATCTGTAGAGCTGTCTTCATGGGAAATTACGTGTTTGGCTTTTCGTCTGTTTTTGAACTTGAATATTTTTAAGCTCAGTAAATTTTAACCTATCAGAGTCTCGGAGTTGGCACCAAAAGAATTTACAATTCCTCTTCTCTGAATATCTGCTTTGCTTCCCCAGTTTGTGTGGGGAACTTCACAGAGCCTCATAAGCCTGTTGAGCAGTGCTGAGTGCTTCACCAAAATCTCCCCTGGCAATGCATAAAGATAATCCATCAGAGAACTAAGAGAAGTTCTTGTAATTGATAAGTGAGAGTCTGAGGGAGTCTAGGCTCTATTCCGATGAGCTTTGGCTCCCAGTACTGTTCCACTTTCTGCTTTTCCTGGAACTTTTTTTCCCCCAAAAAGGCTGTTGAACAAAAACAGTTTCCCTTGAAACTGACAGTATATAGAGTAATTCAGTTCTAATCCACACTAAGATTAATACCCAGTAAACCCCAGAAAAATCTGTAGATTGTCTTCAGGCAGTATATAGTTTGCCCAGCAGTTAAACTGTGTGTTTTAAAATAATAAGTTGTAAGTGAAAGGTAATTGGGCTCTGAAGTAATGTTGCGCCTTTTCTCCCATAATTGGTGTTTAAGCATTTGGCTCTGCAGTCCTTGATCTGTGTGTACGTTGCAAATTGATGTGCTTACCTCATGGAAATGGTACAAGGAACCCCCAGGTGGTTTGGCTTCTGGCTTTATAGAGAGTAGAGGTGATGCTCCTGGAAGTGTTTTGCTCCTCCGTTAAAAATGGTGCAATCCAGTGGAGAAATGAGTGTGGTGCCTTAGTACACGTGGTGAACACAACCTACTGATACATGTGAATGCTGTAATTGTTTGATCAGGGTTTGGTGTTTCTGTGACTTTACAGAGCCAGTGATACCTTGTTCCTCACAAACCTGCCCTGTGCCTGTGCCCTTCCTGTGTTTCTAACCTACACACCGTCAGAAATTGCAGCACCCTGCTGCTTCAGTGTGGGTACTGCCTGTGTCCCTTACCCAGCATCCACGCTCACTGAATTTTAAGTATCTTTTTGAGCCCTACACTGACAAACTTCTTTTGAAATGAACTAGAAATTCCAAAAGTCTGTAGGGTGGCGTTGCAACCAGATATAAATAGCCAGGTCTACGAGAAAGGGATGTTATCACGATATGGATCATGGGACCTCCAGCAGTTGCTTGTAGCCTGGATTCTTTTGTGATTTTCTCTTCCCTTTACAATTAAATAGCAGCATTTAAAAGTAGGAGCGTGCAGCCAAGACCTTGGCCTGAGAATCTGATCTAAATTTGGCAGATGCATTGCTGGAAACAGCAGGAGCAGTTTGGGGCTGGGATGCTTTGAAAAGGGTGCCCTTTCACCTGGTGCTGGAGAAAGGCTCACTTAGCAATCTTGCCGTCTAGTAGAACTTGCATTTGCCTTTAGCAGAGGAGAGTGCTCCATAAACCAGGCTCCGAGCTGTGCCAGAAACAAAATATCTTTTCCACTCTAATGAACAGCAGCAAGGTACTCCACTCCTGAGTGTGCTGTTTTATTTTTAAAAAAAAGTGGAATCCTAGCTCTCTTTCAGATTTGGCATTTGGGAGCAGCCAGCTGTCACATCCCCTTGTTCTCTGCAGTGCATCGAGGGACAGACAAACAGACCTTAGTCTGTGAACTGAAAACCTAACACAAGAGATGAACCCATAACCTAGTGCCAGTTAACAGACTTAACTTCTCATCACAGGGGAGCGGTGTGTTGTTTGTGCTTGATACAGAATGTTTTAATTGGAATGAAAGAATTTCTTGATCTCACTTGATTTATCCTTCTTTTTGTTTCATCTATGAAGTGGCTGGACGGGGCCGTGGCAGAGGCCGTGGCAGAGGACGAGGTCGTGGAAGAGGAAGAGGAGGCCCAAGACGATAACTTCTCACCATGCAACCCCTACCAAATTCTGGGCAATTTCAGCTGTTTTTTTTTTGTACAGGTCTTCATTATGGTATCCATTTTTAATAAACAGAAATATGAAAAAGTTGTCTTTCCTGTGTTAGTTAAGCCTGGGCGGGGCGCTGTGTCCCGTTTCTGGAGACTGTTCTGGAGACTAAGACTCTCGTGGTGGCTTTGCAGTTGCCTCTTGCTTTTTGCCCCAGAGGGAGAGACTTGTGTTGGTGTGCTTTAACAATGTTTGTTTAATTGTGTCCCTCTTTTAGGCACTTGCCATCTTCTGATGGTTATGTAGGTAAGAAAGTCTGTTAAGAACCTGGATCCCATGAGCGTGTGTCTAATGTTGTTCTTCAGAGTGACCTTTTAAAGTTCATGGATATGGTTTTACTGTTTTCTGTTAGATGAAACTTAACAATTTAAACATAGTTTGGTCTTTTTTACAAAACACTCACATAGGGAAATTAACCACTTCTATGGAACTGCTGGATTGTTACATCTCATGATTAAAGTATACCTGGATATGAACTTTGTCAGAGCTAATTATACCACGTACTTCTGCCTCAGCGGGGTTTGTACACAGTTTTTATCACAGATTACTCCCAGCGTGCTTCAAGTGCATCCCTAGAAAATACCGAGTACCGCACCGTGCACAGTTACATACTGGATTTGGGAGTTTACTTCTGAAGATGAGAGAACTTCTGCAGCTCATATGTTAGGGGTGTATGTGTATGTGTGCATTTACATATATGTGCACCTGTGCATCTATATGTACACACATATACATACATACATCTGTATAGAAACATTTTGCAGGATAGACAAAAGGAAGTAGTGTTGGCCACATTTATCTTGAATACCACCCTACCAACTTTTCCCTTGTAGGAAGGGGATTATCCCATTCCTGTCATGGGACTTGAGCAATTCCACCTGAAATACAGATACCATTTCAGATAACGGGCACGCTTAAGCCTGACTGTCTCAAGAGGTACAAGGGTATTTGCCGACGCTTTAGGGCAGGAACATACTTAGCAGGTTGCTCCGTGTCTCCACACGGGCAGTGCTACAACAGAGTGGGAAAGAATGACCCAATGTTGTCTAATGGGTTGGTTAATTGGTGCTAGCTTGCATTCTGTGAATTGTTACGCTTTTCCCTCTCTTACAGAGGCCTTTTTAAAGCTGCATCTTGTTACCGAAGAGCTTGATTTTTGTATCTCCAAACCATTATGGAACCTCCTAAGAGCACTTTTTGGTCCGTGTAGCACCCACGATTCTCAACTCTAGAAATAGCTGCTACAAATAATGGTTGTTGCCGTCTTCCAGAAGCGCTCAGTCACTGACGAGATGGGTAAGCTCTTCCCAGAATTCCCAGATCCAGCTTTCGGCATTCACGCCACAGTTGAAACACATTCCCTCTTCAGCCTCCTCCTTATGAAGGTCACTAGTGCCCCCAGGGGTACGCACATGGTGGATGTCGCCACCAGCAGCCCAATCACTGCCAGAGCGTAGCCAGGGTAATCCTTTGTCACCAGCTGCCCCTGCAAGGGAAAGAAGCAGCATTGGATCTGTGGGATCTCTGGGATTTGGAGTCCTGGAGTCCAGGCTGGAGTGAGGCCGTGCCCCTGTGCAGCTCAACGGAACATCAGAGGAGCACTTGTGGGCTGCAGCTGTCATTGGTGCTTCACTTTGATCAACCGTACAAACTTCAAGCTGACAACAAGAACAGAGCTGCTGACAGAATAACGGGGAAAACTGCAGGCTTTGGTAAAGAACAAATTTTGGGTCTGATTTATGTTTCTTAATGAGCTGGCTCGGCCCTGGCTCCTGTGAGGTCCCCAGAGCCTGTGGGCTCATGCTGACACTTGGTCTCCAAGCTGACCCCAGATCCCAAATCTGTGATGACATGAAAACAAGGTGCATAATTTGTTCCTGCGTGCCAGGAACAATTCCAGAAGGAATTAACGAAACCAGTGATTACTTCTCCAAAAGCCATTCCTCTGTGACAAATACACAGTTCAGCATTCGTGTAAAAGTGATTTTGACCATGAAGAAAAACGTGTATGGAAATTATGAAAACTATTTATCCCAGCAGCAGGTCGGCTCTGTTAACATACCACTGAGTCTGTTCAAAAAACAGAATTGTCAGAGTGGGAAGGGACATTTAAAGATCACCTAGTCAACACCTGAAGGTAATTTTCACTTGAAGTGTTTTTTAAGATTATATTTGTGTCTTCAACATGAATAGAATTATGCTGTTCAAAAGGGCTGATTAAGAATCATAGAGGGAGGTGTGTCCCTTTGGCAGAACCACTGCATTGTTGTCACTAGGTCAAGTTTTCCCTGTTTCACCTTTCCATAATATTAAGGGATGACCCCAACTCCAGCTGCAGTCTTTTTCAGAAGGCGATTTTGTGGAACAGTGTCATTTTAAAAAGAAAACCAACCCCACAATGACCCCAAAACAAAACTATTTTACCTGTGTGGCATCCCATGCTTGGTATTGCAGCGTTCCTGTGAGGATATAGTCAGTGAGGTAAAATATAAGTAGGCTTATAATTAGCAAAGGACTCACAAAAGCCCACATAATTTTCCAGTACCAGTTTGGCTTACGTCCGATCATAGTGTGAAGATCTTTTTCAAATCTGTGTTAAAAAAGGAAAACACACGTAGTTTGAGAATAGCTGAATCTGTTCAATCAACACCTTGATCTGAGTTACATCAGAACCACATATGGAATTAAATATGTAAGATGGGGAAGAGGAGCACAGCTGATTGGAAGAGTAATGAGTATTGTCTGAAGAACTGGCTTGCCAGGATCATATAATAAGGATGATGTTAAATTTAAAAAAAAAAAAAGCAGGGCTTCTGAGAGGACCCCAAACTGCCTATGAGTAGCTAGAAGTAGGTAATAGAAAAGTCCTTGCAAAATTCTCCCCAGAGTCTAAGTTCTCACCGATATTGGTGCAAACCAAATTTAGCCCATGGTGGTGGGCTTCTTGGCCCAGTGTGTCTTGGCCGGTGGTTGCTCCCCCAGCTAGCCCACCAAGGAGAAGGGAGGGCTCAAGCTGTTACCTTTTTATCCCATAGATGTAGCACACGGCAATGGCTTCTACCAGCACAATGAGCAGAAGTGAGAGGGTGGCTGCATAGTCATTGAATATGTCAAACCAGTAATTTCCAGCCTCCATGGTGAAGATCAGGCCAATCACACAGTTAATAAGACACACAACACCTGAATGGGAAAAATAAAAAAAAAATAAAAAAAAGGAGCTGACCACCTGGTGCAGAAACATTGTACTTCTTATGAGTAAAGATTGGTGGGATTTCTGCCGATTTCTGTTGGGGAGCAGCTTTCTCAGAGGAGAAAGATATTTTTGTTACTCTTTTTTACCCCTTTGGAAAAGACCTGTCTGTGTGTATAGGGCTATGCTGGTGTAGCCTTAAATTGTGATGAGGGGCAATGGTTTAAAGTAGTTCGGGGTAGATTTAGATTAGATACTTGGAAACGACTTTTACAATGAAGGTGTTGAAACACTGGCATGGGTTGCCCTGAGGGGTGGTGAAGGCCCCATCCCTGGAGACATTCAAGGTCAGGCTTGATGGAGCTCTGAGCAACCTGATGGAGTTAAAGATGTCCCTGCTCACTGCAGCGTGGGTTGGACTAGATGACCTGCAAAGGTTCCTTGCAGCCCGTTCTATGATTCTGTGATATTCCGTGCTCCACCTGAGGGACCCTGCATGGCTGTGGGACACCACAGCTGTAGCATACACACACACACCCCCACACCCCCACACCCACTCCCACCCCACGGACCGTGGCAGGCACTTACCTGAGATGACCTCCTTGGGGAAGCGGGCAGCTATGACCCTGCTGTCCGTCAGCGGCGTGAGGATGGCGGCGGGGTTGCCGAGCATGCTGCCGATGCCCAGCATGAGGAGCATGACAAAGTAGAGCACGGAGTACAGCTGGGGCACCTCCATGTTTTTGATGGCTTCAGAATAGACTATAAATGCCAGCCCCGTTCCCTGGACAGCCTGCCAGTGAGAAGTAAGGGGGAAAAGTGAGTTACGGGCAGCTCCTCCCCTCAACAAAGGGTGTGAAAATTGGCCTTGTGCCACGATGAAGCACATCTGTGGTGGTGGTTTTGCACAGCAGAGGCAGGGGAGCTTTTTGCTGGTTCATTTAAAGTGCATGTAGCACACAAAAAAAACCCACAAAACCATGCACTCCCAAACCTTTGAGGCTCTCACCGTATCTAGCTCAGCTTCCAAGCTGCAATTTTTAAGCTGCGGCAATAACTGGGCATATTCCTGGGGGTGTGTGGCCATGAGGTAGCCTTTCATGTCGTCGAGGTTGTCTGCTGTTAAAGAGCCTTCCTCCAGGTCGAATGCGTTCATCAGCAGCAAGATCACTCTGGTGGGGAATGTCACAGGAATTTAATGCCTTTGAGGCCAAGGTATAAAATCAAGGATGGTTGACATGGGTGACCTTGCACTAATCTCTCCCTCGGTGGTAGCAGTTCCTGCGCCCCCACTGCTGCTCCCAGGCAGGGCTTTTGGGTGCGGGCCAGCATGTCTCTTCCCCTTTGCCCTCCAGTCTTGTGGCCACACCCCACTAATTTAATGACCCCTTTGGCAACAAGCAGGGTTGAGCAGCTTGGTATCCTCTCTGATCAGCAGGGAGAATGAAAGCTGTGTGAAAGTGTAACATGACGAGGAATTCCTGAGAATCTTGCTGCCTCGAGGTGCAGTCGTGCTGTAGGGCTTAGCCTTAAAGCTGGGGGGGAGTGTCTGAGCATCACCACATTTTATTAACCAGCCTCCCTCCCCACATCTCCTGTGCCACAGCATGTGCCCAGGACCAGGGGAAAGTGCCCATGTGACTTGAGAACTCATCCTCTCTACCTGTCCCATGTCTGGAAGTGGCACCCAGGGGACAGAAGGCAAGTCAGGGTCGACTTTTCATCTCAGCCTTCATCCCTTTAACCAGCACCATTGGTTTCATCGGAGTAGCACCAGCCCTGGTCTCAGGGCAGCACTGCCTGCTGTTATTTATTCAGCTTTTCCCTTACCTGCCCCAGCATGGCTTGT